GATTTGCATTGTTGGATTTAGAAAAGTACATTTAAACAGTTTTATTAACATTAAGTTTCAAGCAAGATTGATTCATATATATCAATGTTTGTTTAATACATTTTTTATCCTATGCACTGCTGTCTGTACATACTGATTGCATTTGCTGCCCGGATTAAAAACCTTAACTATATTTAAATTTTCCCATCTAACCATTCTAGATCACGTTTAATTATTCATAAATCTATAAACTGGTTTTTTTTGTTGTTGTTTTGTTGTAATCACAACTTTCTTGCAAAAATCCTATTAGCTGAGCATATTTTTTGTTGCTGGATTAAATAAATAAATAAAAACTGCAGTAGCAGAAATGTGCCACAGGGGGGCAGTAAGCATTTTGAGTTTAAACAACTAAAATTCTGTTTACTTCCGATTAACAGTTTAACTGCCTCTGAATGGCGCAGCCGTGCAAATAAAGGTAGCGTATCTCTACGATTAATCAATGTTTGTTTATATAAGTTATCTTCGGAATATTTGGGTCGAACCTTTAGCAGAAGAACAAACAGGCGGCTCTGTCTTGTCGCAGCCTATACAGCTAGCAGTAGCATTAGCTTAGCCGATAAGCATCCGTTCTCACTTCTTGCTGCATTCAGTTCTCAGTGAAACTTCAGAGAGCATTTATTAGGCACACATAGACTAACCGATCTATTAAAGCTATTGTTAAAAGCGTATCAGTTTACTGAACACAGACTGCTTATTTTAACACTGATGTATCTGTTGATAAGTAATATGCTATTTATTATTCAAAATAGGTCATTAGGATAATAAATATAATATTTATTTAGCTCCAATTGACACAAGTCATCTCATGGCACTATACAGAGACAATTCAACCAGATCATACAGTCAGATTGGTTTTTAGTTTTCCATCTAAAGAAAAACCAGCTGATTCAATGGACTCATTGACTTTCAGCAATCTCTCTCACCAAGCATGCTTGTAGTGACAGTGGAGAGAAAAACTCCCTTCTTAACGGGAACAAACCTCCAGCAGAACCAGGGTCAGTGGAGCCTGGTTCTGCTGGAGTTGGCTCACACCAAGCCTGGCTCTGCTGCATAAACCTAGTAAATACCCTTTTGCCTAGTATTATAAGTTAAAATGAAACCCACATCCTCCGCTCAAACATGTCAGCACACAACAGGAAGAGAGAATCAACCTTTCTAGCGTCCTAGCCCATGGTTGAATTCGATCAAGAAAAATATGTTCTGAAAGGTTTCAATTTTCAGATAATCAAAAAGGAACATTTAAGTCCTTTTGGATCAGTTTGTTGATGAATTTCTAATTACGTTTGGTATAGAACGACTTTTTGGTTCATTTTTAGTAAGTACTCCATAGGAGTACCTTCTACTTGAGGAAAAAAAAGGGAAACTGTTTTGATTGGCTAAATACTTTCTGCTTTGTTAACAGATCTAATGTGTATGCATGATTTTTGTTATTCAAGCGGACCTTGAGCCGCTCACTGGACATCAATATGGAGATTTGGGCCGATATTAAAACTGTTATTGGCTGATTTCAGGATTGTACGAACATTTGGGATTTCCTTACCCTTTTGAGTGACAGTCAAAAACAAAATACCAAATTACCAACACTCCTCCCTCTGAAACACATACTCATATAACAACAAGAAGAACCTAAATATTTGTTATAAAATTTGGTTTGTCTTCTACAGGAAGTGCTAATGCAAAGACTAATAAGTAAAAAAATTAAATACAATTTTGGACTAATTACTGTTCAGTGTGTTTTTATGCTTTTGTTTCATCAATACACCAGCATGCAATGCACAATATTAACACTTTCTACAAAACCACTGAAAGCCATCCTAAGTCTTTTTAAATCAACTTCAACTATCCTTCAAATTTCTCGTTAATTCTAAAATCTTTGTTTCAGTTTATGACAAAAAATGGACAAAACAACAAACTGATTCTGGGGAAAAAGTCAAATCTGGAAACCTAAAAAACCGCAAAATCTATACAAAATAAATGACTATGATTATTAATTTTGCCATGCTCCAGCAGGTCATCATGAAACAAATAGATTTTGCTTTTTAGAAATGTTTTTTAAAATCTTTCTTATGTTTATTCCATGTTTTTATCCTGCTTTAAAATTTATTTCTAAACCACCATTGGAGCAACAGGAGGATCAGTTCACAGGCTGTTTATTGATGTGCTGTTTAATGTTGGTCTGGCATCACATTAATGTATTCTTTATTATGTACAAGAAAAAAGCTGAAATTTACAGCTGACATAAAGCAACCCATTAATGAGAATTAAATATTGTCTAATCCAGAGTTGATTAGAGAACATTGAGGGGCCTTTCCTCAGTAACTGAGTGTCTAAAGTGTAAATATTCTATATTTTTTATGGTGACAGGCATCAAATATGGAGTCCATTGAGGAGGGCGGAGTCAGCGTCGGCGGCTCTGTGGGAGAGGAGAATTACTTCCTAGGATACACCTTCACTGACCGCTCACACTCCAGCCGCGTGGTGAAGAGCATCATGAACCTGTGCCTGGAGGACGGCCTGTTCGCAGATGTCACCATCACCGTGGACGACAGGGAGTTTCACCTGCACAGGCTGGTTCTGTCAGCGCAGAGCAGCTTCTTCCGCTCCATGTTCACCTCCAACCTCAAAGAGTCCCACAACCGCTCCATCGAGCTGAAGGACGTGAGCGCCTCCGTCTTCCAGCTGCTGATCGACTACATCTACCACGGCACCATTAAGCTGCGGGTGGAGGAGCTGCAGGACACCTATGAGATGGCCGACATGTACCAGCTGACAGCTCTGTTTGAGGAATGCTCGCGCTTCCTCTCGCGGACGGTGGAGGTCAAGAACTGTTTGCAGGTCATTTCTTGTTTTTTTAAGTATAAAATGTTACTCCGTTTTACTATTTATGCTGAATCTTCTTTTGTTTTGGTTTTAGGTGATGTGGCTCGCAGACAGACACAGTGATCAGGAGCTGTATACAGCAGCCAAGCAGTGTGCTAAAATCCACCTGGCTCAGCTGCATCAGACCGAAGAATATCTCAATCTGCCCCTCTGTCTGCTACTGGACATCATCAAGGGTATATAGTCCAGATGGTCAATCTATAAAATATTTTTTTTCTCTCTATTTAAGAACCTTTACAGAATTCCTTTAGGTCCAAATTTATTTACCTCTGTCACTATTTCTTCAGAGGAAATGGATGTTTTGCAAACTTCATTTGATCCTGACATGTGATTTTAAAAAATACAAATGTAAACTATTAATATAGTTTTAAATGCTTTTTTGTTGTTTTTTTTTGTTTAGATGGAGTTCCCAGCTCCCAGAACCCAACGACGGCCATCGAGTCTTGGATAAACCATAACAAGGTTGAGAGGGAGGAGTTCTCCTGCCTCCTCCAGGAGAATCTGAAGGTAACATTTAAAGATCTGTTTTTAATGAGCAGCTTTGATT